CTCATTTCCAAATGTCTCCAAGGCCTCTCCCCACCCTACCTCCTGCAACCCGACTGCCCTCCCTCTGCTTAGCAAACACTGGCCTGCTTCATATCCCCTGCCCAATCTGCCCCAGCATTGCTGGGAATCCTTCAGTCAATCTTCCTTTGCTTTCTGAAACTCCAGGCATCCCTCTGTCTTGCCCCCTCCCTCAGTTTTCAAAATCTTCCTTTGGACATATCGCCTTCGGCTACCTTTCCTCTCCCTTCCTCAGATCCCTCCCCCTCGCACGAGATCCAGTAATTTGTGTGAAGTGTTTTTTGATATCTTCCTGACATTTTTTCGCACACAAAATGTACAGTCAATTCATTTTACAGTATATTCTGTGAAGCACTTTGAGACGTCTCGAAGACGTGATAAGGTGCTATATCAAATGCAACAACAACAACAAGATTTTCATTTCAAAAAACAAAACAATAATAAATTGGTCATTTTCAATCTATGACTGTTTGTGGGACATTGCTGTGCGCAATTGGCTGCCGCATTCGCCCACAAATATACAGTCAATTCACTTTATAGTGTGTTCTGTGAAGCGCTTTGGGACGTCCTCCCGACGTGAAAAGCGCTATATCAAATGCAAGGATTATTATTATTTATAGAGCGCCTTTCACGTCAGGAGGACGTCCCAAGGCGCTGGACAGTTGGGTCAGGACCCGAGCAGGGGGTAAATGGTCAGGGTGAGGGGAGGGAAGGGAGGGAGCGAGGAGGGGGTAGAGGGTCGAGAGGGGAGCTGAAGGCACGGTTGAAGAGGAAGGTCTTGAGACCGGCCTTGAAGGAGAAAGGGAGGAAGCAAGGTGAAGGCACTGGGGGATGGAGTTCCAGAGCCTAGGGGCTGAGAGGCTGAAGGCCCGGCCACTGATGGTAGGGCGGTTGGGGCGGAGGATGTGGAGGCAGACCGGAGCCAGAGGAACGGAGGGTACGGGCAGGTAAGTAGGGGGATAGTAGGTCGTAGAGGTAGGAGGGAGCGAGGCCGTGAATGGCCTTGTAGATGAGGATGAGGATCTTGAATTCGATCCTCTGGGGGATGGGGAGCCAGTGGAGGCGAGCGAGGGTGGGAGTGATGTGTTCCCGAAGCCTGGTGCGGGACAGTACACGAGCTGCAGAGTTCTGAATGACCTGCAGCTTGTGGAGGGAGGTGCCGGGAAGGCCGGCGAGGAGAGAGTTCCCGTAGTCCAGCCTTGAGGTGATAAAGGCGTGGACCAGTATTTCAGCAGTGTGAGGGGTGAGGTAATGCCGTAGTCTGGCGATATTCTAGAGGTGGTGGAAGGCGGTGCCAGTTGTGGCGCAGATATGAGGAAGGACAGCTCAGGGTCGAACAGAACGCCGAGGTTCCTGACTGGCTTTGAGAGGTGGAGAGTGCAGCCTTGGATGCTGATGCTGTCAGCGCCTGAGGTGCGGAGGCGCTGACGTGAGCCAATCAGGAGGGCCTCAGTTTTGCGCACGTTGAGCTGAAGAAAGTTGTCTCTCGTCCAGGGTTGCTATTATTATAAAAGGCATTATATAAATGTAAATTGTTGTCACAGTCTTGGTTATGAATGAGATGAGAGGTCTGTGATAATGTGGAATACTGTCAAAGCAGACTCAATTGGGGGCTTGAAAGGGGGATGGATGGAGATATAGTTGGCCCCCGTTACACCCCTTTTCAGCATAACACATATGTACCATAGACTTGCAGCGTAGCCAAAGCAGGTCCAACTATTTGGGAACATGAAAAACAAGCGAGATAATAGGAAAACAATGTATGTCATGATTCCACGATACAACAAAACAGGCTCAATGGGCTGAATAGTTAGATTATTTAACTTTTTTGTGTCTTAGCTTGAGTGTGACTGAGCATAGAACTTCCCCTAATGTTTCAGTGACAAAGTGTGGCACACAGATGGCTGCAGAAGTAACTAAGAGAAGTGGCAGCAGGTTGTGCAGCTAGTTTACTTTTCCAGTGATGAAGGCATTTTCGAAAGCTGTGTCTGGTGTGTTTCAAACATCAAACGATTTGATCTGAGTTAAGAACATTGCTACTTGATGCTGGATTGGTCCTTTGTTACACACTCATGGGTATGAAGGTCAGGGTTTTTTTGGGGGGTTGTGTAGCACTTTTGAAGCCCACTGACTGCTTTATATTCTCCAAAACTTAAAGCACTTCAGCAGAAATAGTTGGAACTCTCAGAGGCTGGTGAGGTCAGCAATGAAAGGTTCAGTGGTTTTGTGTATGAAGCAGAGAGGGGGAAAGGGAGAAATATGATGGAGTGGAGCAAGAGAAGACGGACCAGAAGTATTAATAAAGACAATTTTATATTGTTCTGATGTTTAATTACACAGGACATCCCAAGGCGCTGGACAGTCAGGGATTTGGACCCGAGCTGGGGATCGATGAGGCGGGAGGCCAAGAGGGTTACTGAAGGCACGGTTGAAGAGGAGGGACTTGAGATGGTTCCTGAAGGAGGCAAGGGAGGAGTGTGAGGTGGAGGGACTGTGGGCTGGAGTTCCATAGGCTAGGGGCAGAAAGGCTGAAGGCCTGCCCACCAATGGTGGGGCGGGCGAGTCAGGGGACGGGAAGCAGGCTGAAGCCCGCAGAGCGGAGGGAGCGGACAGGTTGGTAGGGGGTTAGGAGGTCACAGAGGTAGGGAGGAACGAATAGCTCAATCTAAGCTGGAAGCTCAAAATGCAGGCTAGAGCAGGGAGCTTGACATTGTCCAGACCCACAGAAGGTTCAAGACTCAGAGCAAAAAGGTTGTACTGTATGTGTGTATGTGTGACCAATCTCAATGTGAATGAACTTTTCTATTCCTTGGTGGATGTTTTTAAGGTTAATGTTTCCCCATGATCAGTGATTGGATACTAGTTGCACGTGGGTAAGATACATGCTCATGATCTCTGCAGAGTGACAGATGGCTGGAAACTCATCCGAGTGGATAGAGAGTACTTCAAGATAATAAGTCTTAAACGCTTGACTACTGATGCTTCTGTTCTCAGCAGTTCCACCTGCTGGTACATAGTGTTAACTGCAGTTATTGTACTGGATCTGAGATGTACAGTATTCCTACAGAAAATTGTACTGTAACTCATATTCAATTACAAATCTCTGAAGTTAATGACAGTCACCAACAGTCAAGGTGTCAAACATTACCAATTGTTTATCGTCATAAGAAGGCACTTCAGGACTTGTATCTAGCTGAATTTCAAGGTGTGGGGGTATATTTAAGGTAGTTTCTCTTTATCGCAAATCGTCTTTCAGGTTTTTCTTTTGCTCAGTTTACTGGAAGTAGAAGTACTGGTTTAATTTTCAGAGTTTCGATGCACATATGAGATGCTTATGTTAAGTGCAGATGCTGATGAAGCCAATTTGTTTGCAGACAATGTTGAAAGGATCTAAAAAAGCATTAGCTTTCCTTTCACTCTGTACTGAGGGAACTAAGACAAAAAGCAGTGTTCCATTTTTAAACTCCTAATTTAAAAAGGCATAAATTTGAACTGACCATCTGTGAGGGATAGAAAATACAATGCTGATCACAAAAAGCTTACATGATCCCCTTTCCCTGAAGCAAGCATACAATGTGCAATTTTTCTGGGCCCTTTTAGATTGGAGTGAGTTGTATAAGTCCAATAATAATAATAATCCTTGCATTTGATATAGCACCTTATGTCTTCAAGACGACTCAAAGCGCTATGCAGAATATACTGTAAAGCGAAACACGTAAGTCAATTGCACACAGGAGTGACCCAGAAACATTCGTGGATTGAGTGACCAAATTATTATTTTTTTAAAAAGAAGGGATTATTACCCCCAGAAAAGTGATCCACCAATTGACTAGCAACCAGGTTCCTACTTACTTTTGGGAAGCAGAGAGGTGTGGAGTAAGGACACTTGCTTAATGTTTCGCCCTACCCGGGAATCAAACCCAGATCCTCTCGCTTGTGAGGCGAGTGCTCTAATCAATATGCTACAACAACAACAAAATTACATTTATAGAGCATCTTTTATAGATCAGGTCAGAGAGGTAGGAGGGGGCAAGGCCATGGGTGGCCTTAAAGGCGAGGACGGGGATCTTGAACTCGATCCTCTGGGGGATGGGGAGCCAGTGGAGTCAGGACTCTGAATTAAATTAATCAGATCACACCTTGTGTGCATTCACAGGAAGTTTCTCGCAGTTATTCTCCATATCTGCTTCCTGTAGAGACTGGGGTGCAATTTTAAAAAAAAAGTTTTCTCAAATGGTGAGAAAATGAATTTATTTCGGGTGAAAGAAAGTAACTTTTAGTCATCTATATGCTCCACGCTTTGTTCACTGTACATTGAACCTTTATTGGGCAATCCTTTGGTTTGGTCTCTTAGTCAATTGTTGTGAAGCTATTGCTTTCAAAATGCTTTTGTGCAAAACTGAAACTTGCTGAAAATCTGGAAAAGACTTCCACATCTGGAATGTATCACGTTGTACATATTTCTGCTTTTTATGATAGTTGATACAACAAAAATTATTTAAATGATTTTTAAAAAATCTTCCTTGCTGTTGGAAAAGCTACAAAATTAAGTGTTTAATTTGTTACCAAAGACGGTTCCAAATTAATCCCTTGTGCAGAAAGTGCTACAAACTTTAACTGGATGGTAAACTGGGTTATTGTTGAAATTGTCTCATGATTAGTTTAAAGGGTGCTAGGAAAGAATGGAAAATTAGGATTAGAATCATTTGCTCCAATGGATGAACTGGCACCAGTTAAGAATCAGTGGGCCAAATGACCTCTTCCTGTGTTGTAATTTCTATGATCTGAAGTTGGCACTCCGAAATCATGCATGAGCTGGACATCTGTAGCCTTGTTTTCTGAAAAGCTGTTTCCAATCTGTGTTCTGTTTAAAAGACTATTGTAGAACACGTCTTCAGAAGAGAGATAGTTGCATTAAAGCATATATTTGTTATTGTCTGAAATGCATGGTAAAACATCACTGCTCTGCCTTTTCCTCATAGGAAGCCACGTCCGGTGTCTCAGTTGGTGGCACAGCAAGTAACACAACAATTTGCATCACCCACACAACCAAAGAAGGAAAAGAGAGACAAGGGAGAAAAGGAAAGAAATGAGAAAGAATCTGTTAGTAAAAAGAACAGTCACAAGAAAACAAGGTAATATTTTGACCCTAATCTTGCGAATCAAAAACAAATGAGTATATGAATTTAATGCATCGATCAGACTGGAAGCATTTTCATATGTTCAGTCCAGTTTTAAAGGAGCAAGTTAATGACTTTGATCTGCTGGATAACTATATATTCTTTGAAATGTATTGAAAAAGCAAAAGTTGTGCACCAAGCACAAAATAGCTGTTGCTGAGTGTCTTACCTTATTTGTTAGTCTACACTTGCAATTTGAATTGTTGCATACTGCCTTGTAGAACTACTCTGTTTCATTCAAAACAATTGACCCTGCTTCATATGAATTGTGCCATAGAGATGAGAATCCTTTAACAAGAAATCTGCTTCAGATAGGTGACCAACTAATACCCATTAGTGTTGAATACAGCTGAAATTTGATCGTGGAGTTCACCTGCCTATTGTGAGTCCATTCAAGAGTCATGAAGCATTTTCAGCCAGATCTGCTTTACTGTAAACTATTGATTTTGGACTAAATGAAGGGATTTGCAAAGATTTCCNAAAAAATAGAAAATGAAACCATTGCTGACTTTGAAAGATCACAAGGGATATGGATCAATCAGACCCTTCAGCAATTTGATCTCATCTACCCTGAATACCCACCCAACTGTCTTCTCATTAAATTAATCAAGTTGTTTCTCAAGAAATGATTCATAGTTAATTTATCTGACGTACACTATCTACGTATTCCTGCTGTGTCACTTGTATTTATGGAATTATTTGCATGGCCAGGTTTTTCAAGTGCACACAAATTAGTTTTTTTTCCCTCTTGTCTCTTTTTTTCTAGGCCAAGGTTAAAAAACATAGATCGAAGCAGTGCGCAGCATTTGGAAGTGACTGTAGGAGATCTGACAGTCATTATTACAGACTTTAAGGAGAAAACCAGGTCATCGCCTGCTGCCACAGCGACATCAAGTACCACTGCCGATCAGCACAGCCTGAGCAGTTCCAGCTCTGACAATACAGAGAAAGGCTTGTCCAGGTCATCGTCGCCCAGGGGAGAGGGATCAGTTAATGGAGAATCACACTAAAGTGTTGGTTACCCACTTCCTTATTCACTTCTGTAAACATTTCAACGGACAGCTTCTCACAACCTAGTTCTGAACGGTCAGTGTTACACTGGAAAGCCAGGTTGCATCTTCAATTTCAGTTCAGTGCTTTCTAATAATCGCATACAAATCTGGAACTCTGCACTGCGGCATGTTTCGAGTGTAATTTTCTACATCTTAGATCAGACTGCCTGAATATATGTGTTGAGAACTGAATTGTGAAGCAGCTGGCTTCAGGTATTCAGTGCTATTTTCAGTCCACTTTAATCGACTGTTGCAGTAAGGAAACAATTTATGAAATGGTTGCCTAGTTAAGTACACCTGCTGGTACTTGGTGTGGTTAAATAGGAAAAGCATTCTCAAATATAACATTTGTATAAATTCTTGCCAATGTTTTTTCAACACTTGTTATTTGGATGGAAAACTTCACTAGCCATTAAAATTGTGGCTTTACAAATGTCCACTGTCATTCATTTCAGCCACTGTCATTCATTTCAGTAAGTTACAGTTTTAATATGTAGTTATGGGCTAAATTGACAAGGTTTAACTGATAATACAGTCCATGCTATTTAACTGTGGGAGATCTGAGATGTTGTCAATGGGCTGTTTAGATGAAAAGTGACTGTTTCCCACTTTTATAGTACGCAAATTTTATACTAGCATGACTTTGTACTTGAAGTATGTTTTGTCAGTGGACTGCTCCCACCATAGTTGGAGATGAGAGGAAAATACAAATTATATGACATCTAAAATGGTGTGGGAACAGTTTCTGTTAGCATTACAGACTTCAATTAAGGTGTTTTGCTTCAGAATTGTGACAATATATGTGTATATTGTTGCAATAAAAATTATGCAAATAAGTATTTGATTTTTCCATTTTATTTTTAATTCCGATAAAGTTCTCCATATATTGTAGCAAATGTAGCTTACTTTTTGTTTAAAAGGTTACACATATGTACGTAATTTACTGTTATGTGGCAAAAATGTTGCATTGAAATTTAATTGATATTCAAAATATGTTTCAGTCCCTTCATATACAACCATGTTTTACAAGCAATAAAAAAAATACCTCAAAGGCATTAAATTGATGAAAGTCAACGATTGCAACTAAGAAACCTTTATTACAAACTTAGCAAAACATCTTATTAAAGAAAATGAGTGCTTTCAAGATAGGGGGTAGCTGGTGATCTAACATCTGTATGTTTTGATAAAAAAAATTGCAATTGAATGTGCAAGTAAGTGGCATGGACTGTATTTTCACATTTAGGTATTTAATACTAATACCTGTATTCAGTGATTATAGATTGTTTTACATGAGATTTTTATATCCTTAAAACTTGGTGTTCATGCTGATATGTGTAGTGTTTGGTATATATTTGATTTCTATCAGAGCAACTCAGAATTAAAAAAATTTGAATTATAAAACCCAGTATCCATTTTTAAAAGAGAAGGGGAAGTAATTCCATTGTTTATCTTTATCAAATAAGAAGAATGCTATTTCACGGTGAGCAGTTTTATTTTGACAACTCCCCCATTCATTCCAGAGAAATATTCTTCACTCAGTTCTCAACTAATGTTGGCAACATCACTTTGGATAGGGGTCATAAGTAAGTATGGTCATTGGTTTTCTTTTACGAGTAACCCTTTTATGATTAAACGGCATACATTTTGAGGATACTACTACATTTTTAATATTTTGTTCCAATTTATAGTTGACCAAAATAATTTTGTGTTTTGTAAGTGAAACTATATTAGCAACTAAGCTTTGTGTTGTCTTTGTGTGCAACTTTTATTCTTGTCAAAGAAAATCTAATCAAAAGGCAAAGTGCACATTTAGAATTACAGTATTCTGCACTTGTCCCTTTTTCAATAACATTGTTTTTTTCCACCATGTCTTGTATCATCCTTGAGCTGAGCAACTGTGGAACGTGAGATCAAGCAGATTAGCATTATTAAAAATATAAATTTTACCAACAAGAATAGCTCATTGGATTGACTAATCTGCCCTCATTTGATTTTAAATCCACAAACGCAGGTTCACTCCATGTCCTTAGATTTCTTCTCCAAAAATTCATTTTGTTGTCCCTTAGATCTGTTTATGCTGTCCACTTCCTTGGTCATATAGGCTACAGGCATGGACATTTTCTTTTGTATGTAAAGTTCTGCAGGACTTCCTTTCTCTCAACCTGAGGAGCTACAGATTTTACCTCCATCTAGTACCACTCCTCTCAAGCCTGTTTGGGCATACTTTGTTTTCTGGAAGCTACAATTCACACACTCAAGCTGATCGGAATGGACAATTCCCAAACTGTGGTTTTGTTTCTTAGTCCATATAGGAATATAAAGCATACAAGAAGGGCAAATCTCAGCAATCTTGCCAGTTTTGTTGTTCGATTATCTTTCAATTAATAGTCTACAAAGAAGATAATATGTATTATATATGATATACAATGCAGAATACAAGGGTGGTTTCAACATCAAATTACTATCAGTTGCTTGTTCTAGACACCTGCTGTCAGAAATGTATTATGTTGTCTCCTTTTTGTTCTCTTACTCTTACACACTCGTGCAATTCCATAACACGGTTTGCCCCCTGCAAACTCTTCGCTTGTTCTTTTTACTTCATTTAAAAAAGGTAGCCCATTGTTCATTAAATTTCAGAATGCTGAACTTAAAAAAAAATCAGTTTGTGGAGGGACACAGAATGAATTCTGTTTTGTAAATGCAACATTTCTGTTACCACATGGGTCGAGTCCACACCTTGGTATGAATGAAACTTCACAGAACCAGTGAAAAATAGTGTTTAAAAACTCTTCACCTGTATCCCCATGTTTTCTTTTACATCGATATATTGCGGTGAAGACCATTTTCAAAAATTGTCAAACTTATGTTATTTATGTTATATTTTCTCATGTCTTTTTCCTTAAGTCTCAGACTCTTGTTGAAGTACAAGCCTTAGAGGCTGTGACAATTCTCTCACTTGATGATGGAGTTACTTAGATTTTCCAGCAGAGGTCATTGGAGAGTGACCAATAGCAGGAACTCCCAAGTGATTTCCCTTCCCAAAGCCAAGCTACTTTCACGCAAATTTTTGCACTTCACTATTTCCCAAACTAAACTCATTACAGAGCAGAAATTGAACCTGCAGTTTTCTGGGATGCAGGGCTCAATGTGACACTTGGTCCTTTTACACAACTGAGGACAGAGAAAGCATTTCTGGTCTGAAGGCTTTGTCAAAACAAGCATCAAAACAGTTTCTGGTATTGTATTTGACGTTTTTATCAAAACAAAGCACAATTGAGATCTTCTAAACCAAATTGAAGTATTTTATGACTTAACGTACTCATGAGTGCAGTTAACTCCTTTGCTTAGTGAAAATGAAAATTTCAATGTAACCAGAGTTGCAGAGCATCAGGAACATGGGATTTTACACCAAGTGTTCTATTGCAGTTATTCCAGAGGCGAAAAGATGTCTGTCGCTCACATAAAAAGGCTTTTTTTTAAAAAAGCTGTATTTTTGTGAAACAGTCCAGTTATGATAATTAAGTAATGAAGTATATTTACTTCAAAGACACAATTAACCATAAGTCGCTCACATAAACAAGAGTAAGTGCCTCTTTGATGCTGCAATACTTGATTTCCAATTATTCATTTGGTCATCTGAAAGAGATCTGCACTTTGATTAATGATGCAATTTACAATCTGTTGCAGCACTCTGGTAAGTGAATTCTGTGCATCATGGTCTCAAAACAGTATGTGTACAATCTATTTCTCTCTATAATTTTCAGTCAACCCTTTGCTATTCTTCCCTCTTTTCAAGGGCATTGGCTTTTACTGGGATATAGGTCTACCAGCATTCACTGGCTTCTTGCAGTTTGGTTCAATGCCATATCACACCGAGGGGACAGAATCTAGTTGTGGCACCTCAGCTGACTACTTACAAGCCTAAATTTTAACCTATTCAATTATCTCAATAGATTTTAACAGAGCACTGCCTTTTCCCTCTGCTCTTATGGAATTTAAAAATATATATATATTGATGTGCTTAAGAGTATCAAAACCAAGCTGGGATTTACATGCCATCCACCTACACATGGAAATCCCAGAGATAGATTGTTGGAATGGAATAATAATAATAATAATAATAATAATCCTTGCATTTGATATAGCGCTTTTCACGTCAGGAGGACGTCCCAAAGCGCTTCACAGAACACACTGTAAAGTGAATTGACTGTATATTTGTGGGCGAACGCGGCAGCCAATTGCGCACAGCAATGTCCCACAAACAGTCGTAGATTGAAAATGACCAATTTATTATTGTTTTTGTTTTTTGGAGGGATTATTATTAGGCGTGTGGAGTAAGGAAACTTGCCCAACGTTTCGCTCTGCCTGGAATTGAACTCAGGTCTCTCACTTGCAAAGCGAGTGCTCTAACCACTGAGCTACAGGACTCCACGCTCTCTCCCTGGAGACGCAGCCTGCTTACTTCCAGAAAGTATTAGGCGCCGGTTGGTAAGTCAAGGCTTCAGGACCCAGAGCAGCTGTTGGGGTACTGCTGGAGCCTAATCAGCTAAAACCGCATAACTTGCCATTGATATTGCTGTCAGGCAAGCTTTTTCACAGCGTATCCAGCTAGGACCACCCTATCCTTGGCTTTGGCTTGCAGGGTTAACAGCAGCTGAGTGGGATGACTTCCTACCCCCCAGTAACTGGTATGCCCTTCCGTGTCTTGCCGGTGAGCTAGGCTGCAATACTACAGACCCACCTGGTTCAGGAACCGAACAACCAAGACGACCACAGAGGCTTGGCTCGATTCCGAGATTCCATTGCCAGGCATGTCATCTTGGATACAGTTCAGCTCCAAGGAAACCCTACTCAATAAACCACTAACAAGGTGCAAACCAGGCAAGCCAATACCAGCTACAGAGAACATTTTAAGCTTCTCCTTTGACTCTCTACATATATTTAATCTATTTTGGTATTGAGGCATTTTGGGCACTCTAGACGGTGGCTAGAGAGAAAAGTTAAGGTTAAGGTTAAGTTGATTTTATTTCACCATTTCCTCACCCCTGAAGTGATGTGAAGAATTTGCACGGGTGACCTTTTGCAAAAATATTTAGCCGTTTTCTGGGTCACAGTTGACAACCAAGATGAGAATTTGAATATATTTCTCAAGAAAAACTCCCACATTAGGTTTGGCCCTGGTGGGAGAATGATAGGATTGAAATATGAATCTAATTATGGATTCTCCATGCAGTTGACTGTTATTGATGTGATACTTATGAATTGAAGAAGTATTTCAAACTTAATATGGTGCAATTTGTGTGTTTTACAATTTAGGGATCTGGAACCATTTGATTTTCTTTGGTTAGAGCCTTACATGTATACAAAACAGTTATTGAAGGAATGACAAGAAATGTGTCGGACCAGATGGAAAATTGAATCATGATTTAGGGTGGAAACAGTGTTGGGAAATCAATTTAAAAAATGTTTAAAACTTAAGATGCTTTGCACTACGGCTTGCAAATAATTAATTGTATGCAAGTTTTGGGAATGACATTCTAGTTTCTACTTTTTAAAATCACAGCACAAATGTGTATTTTAACAATCAAAGCTGACAAGAATTTCATGCATCAGCTCTTCTTCACGGGAGCATGAACTGAATGCCTATTTTTCTAAGTGTTATCTCAATACAATTCGAGGATAGTTAAATCCACCAAACTTGTTGCCTTGCTTGACAGTAATAATGTCCTCATTGTAACATTATTATGAGGTCTGTTTTGGCTGCAATTGGTCAACTCAGCAGACTCTGAATCGGAATCAAACTTCTTTATCTATACAGCTCAGCTGCTTATCAATTTAACACTTTGAACCATAAGACACATTGGCTGCTCTTTTGTACAGATAAGAACTCCCATATTTGACTAAACTGACCTCAGCCCTTTTGCGAAAGCTTGAATGAATGAGAGGTGAGTGGAGAAAAGGGCGAACATGGATTTCTCGAATCGTATCTCATCTACTTTGATGAATCCTGGGCCTTGATTTCTGCATTTTCCTTGTGATAAGCATGTCTGATGCACCACGTTCTGCTTTTTCCATTACTTTTGTGTGCTATGCTACATCACGTAAAAATGAAAGTTCAACGCACAGAAACGCACACCTTCGCATCTGTTTTTTTTAAGCCAAAAGGAAACCTACTAACTCAAACGTAGAAACAATTAAGAAGCTAAAGGATAATAGATACGATATGAGAATGTGTGGTAAAATTGTCATGCAAATTTAGGATGATGTTACGGGGAGAAACTTTTGACCCAAGGCACGATCAAAAAGGAAAGTCTTGAGATGTGCCTTGAAGTAGGTCAGGAGCAGCGAGAGCCCTGTTTTGCTGCTGTTGCAGTCTGCTCGTTGCACAAAAATGGTACTTGGCGCCTGCTTACAGATTAGGCATTCGTTACGCTTCACAGCCTCGCCCTGTGACCCGCTTTGCGACAGAACCTCCCGAACCTCAGCAATGCTGTATCAAATGTCAGGATTATTATTATTATTATTATTATTATTATCATTGATGTCAATCACAATTGCATTGGTAACTTGGCATCTTGCCCCGCCCCCTCGGGCGGCCCCGCCCCGCCCGCGCAGGAGGTCCCGCCCCCTCGCCGGCGGCAGCGGCTCCTCGGGTTGGACGCGATGCACGTGATTGACAGGCACGAGATCCAATGGGGGGGGGGAATTAGGCAGTGGGCGGAGCCGCCGGTTAACCCTCACGTGATCGCGAGGCGCAGCGGCTGCCAACGGTCGCCGCCGCCGCCGGAGCGGACGATGCGGCGCCACCTCCGCGCGGGGGGGACTGCGCTGCTCTGCTCGGCCCTGGGCCTGTGCCTCCTCCTCCTTTACGTCTTGCAAGAAACGGCCGAGGCCCAGGAAGGACTTGGGGCGGCGGGAGGCGCGGCGCACCGGCCCCGGATGGCGTTGCAAACCGACGCTCGGCCGGTCAGGGAAGCGGGCCCGAGGCCGGACAGGTGAGAGGCGGCCCGTACCGGGTGGGGAGGGGGGTGTGAGGGAGACGACCGACCGACCGACTCTCCCTGTAGTTTGGAACTGATACAGTTTGATAGTGTAAGAAAAAAAACTCTTCAAAGAGTGTGTGGGTGTGTGTGTGGGGGATGTTTTTAAGGTTTCAAATAATTTTTTTAAAAATGAGGAAGAGACTCCCCCCTCTCCTCCCCCTCTCTCCCTCTCCTCCCCCCCTCTCCCCCTCTCCTCCCCCCACCCCTCTCCCCCTCTCCTCCCCCCCTCCCCCCCCTCACCCCTCTCCTCCTCCCCCCCCTCCCCCTCCTCCCCCCCCCCTCCCCTCTCCTCCCCCCCTCCCCCTCTCCTCCCCCCTCCCCTCTCCTCCCCCCTCCCCCTCTCCTCCCCCCACCCCTCTCCCCCTCTCCTCCCTCTCCTCCCCCCTCTCCCCCTCTCCTCCCCCCCTCCCCCTCTCCTCCCCCCTCCCCCTCCTCCCCCCCCCTCTCCCCCTCCTCCCCCCCCTCTCCCCTCTCCTCCCCCCCCTCACCCCTCTCCTCCCCCCCTCTCCCCCTCTCCTCCCCCCCCCTCTCTCCCCCTCTCCTCCCCCCCTCTCTCCCCCCTCCTCCCCCTCTCCTCCCCCCCCCTCTCCCCTCTCCTCCCCCCCTCACCCCTCCTCCCCCCTCCCCCTCTCCTCCCCCCCCTCACCCCTCTCCCCCCCTCTCCCCCTCTCTCCTCCTCTCTCCTCCCCTCTCCTCCCCCCCCCCTCTCCCCCTCTCCCCCCCTCTCTCCCCCTCTCCTCCCCCCCTCTCTCCCCCTCTCCTCCCCCCCTCTCTCCCCCTCTCTCCCCCTCTCTCCCCCTCTCCCCCTCTCCTCCCCCCCTCTCCCCCTCTCCTCCCCCCCCTCACCCCTCTCCTCCCCCCCCCTCTCCCCTCTCCTCTCCCCCCCTCTCTCCCTCTCCCCCCCCCTCCCCCTCTCCTCCCCCCCCTCTCCCCCCTCTCTCCCCCTCTCTCCCCCCCTCTCCCCCCTCCTCCCCCCCTCTCTCCCCTCTCCCCCCCCTCTCCCCCCTCCTCCCCCCCTCTCTCCCTCTCCCCCTCTCCCCCCCTCTCTCACACTCTCCCCCCCCCCACTCCCCCTCTCCTCCCCCTTTAAGCTGATTTTTTTTGTTTCCGCGCTAAATAATAACAATAACAACGCTGACGACGACGACGTCGAAAACCCTGAGCCGTTTGAGCCGTCGCCCCCTTTTTCACCGTCAAAAAGCGCTTTTGGCAGAAGTACACGTCGCGAAGCGCAAACGGACCGTAACGGTTTGCGGGCGAAACCCGATCGCGCCCGAAAAACAACGCCAACCGCCACCCGCCCGAGCGCGCGGTGGAGGGGGGGGGACCCGCCCAACCTCAAGCCCCCGGCGGCGGCGTTGCTTCTCAGGAGGCGGACCGACCCGCCAGAGGCTGTTCCCCTCCCTCTCCCCCCCCCCTCCAAAAAAAAAACACCTCACTCTCGGCAACTTCCAGGCTGGTCGTTCCCAACTTCTTTTTTTTTATTTGCAAGGCCTTCCTTCCTTTTTTTTTTGAAAAAAAATTCATTCATTCGTTAATCGAGCAGTGATGTTGGTTGTAAACGGAAGGGTTAGAAATTTCCCGGCACCAAAAAACACACACACACACACACAAAAGTGTAAACGAGGGTCTGTTGTTAAACCCCGGGCTCAGAAAAGTGCGGTGGGGTCACAGATCGGATGAATCGAAGTGGGGGATTTTGTTCGCGTGTTTTGCGTGTGTTATTCTTCAGCGCAGTCCCACAGACCTTCTTCCGCGACGTGCAAACGATGGCGCTCACACCAATCCTCTGGACGTCTCAATACAGTTAAGCACTTATACCGAATACAACCAAGTACTTCTAAATACGATTATCGATTCCTGTTAATATAATAATAATAATAATCCTTGCATTTGATATAGCGCTTTTCACGTCGGGAGGACGTCCCAAAGCGCTTCACAGAACACACTGTAAAGTGAATTGACTGTGTGTTTGTGGGCGAACGCGGCAGCCAATTGCGCACAGCAATGTCCCACAAACAGTCGTGGATTGAAAATGACCAATTTATTATTGTTTGGGGTTTTTTGCAGGGATTATTATTAGGCTCTGTGTGGAGTAAGGAAACTTGCCCAAGGTTTTGCTCTGCCTGGAATTGAACTCGGGTTAGGGTTGCAAAGCGAGTGCTCTAACCACTGAGCTGCAGGACTGTAGCTAATCCTGTAAAGCCCAAGCCCTAACTGGGAGGGTGGACCTGGCTGGACAAGTGGAGAGCTTGCAAGACAATGCTTTGAATGGCAACCTATGCATTTTTTTTTAAATAAGCTGGTTAAGTTTCCAACGCACACTCCGGGGGTCTTCAATCTTCGCTCTTACTAACCTGCATCAAATACTCTGGAATTAGGTCGGCAGGATGTGTCCCTCCAGGGGGAGTGTGCATTCCATTCCAGACACAGGGATATTCCCATGCGTGTGTGGTGTTCATATATGGAACCCTCAGTCTCTTAAGTATTGTGATGGGTTTCTGCATATGTCAAGCACCCAACTATTCAGGAAAAAATCATCACCCCAGCGTTTGATATAGTACTTATAAATTTAGTCAGCTGAATGTCAGACAAGTAGAAACCTATATATTTTGCCCATAAAATATACAGTCAATTCACTTTACAGTACATTCAATGAAGTGCTGTGAGACGTCTCGAATACATAAGATGCTATATTAAATGCATTAAATATAGATTAAGGATTATTATCATAACTGCTTTAGAATTCGGGTTCTCAAACTTTCGCCGTAAGTCTCCCTAAGCCAAGGAAAAAAACAATTGCGCCTCACCACAGTTCATCTAGACAACACAAAGAACCGAAAAGCCCATACACCATAAGAATACGAGTAACAAAGTAGAAGTGTTCTAATCAATACAGTTACAATATGTGTATAAGAGTCAAAAGCACAAGTTCTAGTTCACAAAAACCCTCAGTAGCGTCCCACAGCTCTGCCCCAAAAGAGTACAAATCATAGCAGCCAAACAAAACTGCACAAACACTCCAGGAAATCACAGCACCAAACAACTGCAGACCACGACATTGCAATCTCCATCAATCCCACCCATCAGTGGGACGAGTGAGCCTGCCTCCTTTAAGTACAAAGTACTACAATTCGGATTGCAGTGTAGAAAGTTAGAGGAGGGGTTTGAATGTCTCACTGATCATAGGCATAAGTGCTGTTGCAGGGCCTGGCCGTGTGGAGAAGCGTCAATATGGAGCCTGGCTGTCGGGAATGATTCTGCCAGGCCATGGGGCCTACCTCATGAATCCCAGAATCCACACGCCTAATAATAATCCCTCCAAAAACAATAATAAATTGGTCATTTTCAATCTACGACTGTTTGTGGGACATTGCTGTGCGCAATTGGCTGCCGCGTTCGCCCACAAATATATAGTCAATTCACTTTACAGTGTGTTCTGTGAAGCGCTTTGGGACGTCCTCCCGACGTGAAAAGCGCTATATCAAATGCAAGGATTATTATTATTGTTGTTGGGAGGCGCACGTCACAGTTTGAGAACCTCTGTTTAGAATACTCAAAGCAGACCGAGAGGACCATAGTTTGACTTCAGTTTGGAATCTTATCTTAAGTATTGCACTTGCAATAATGATGCGCTTCCCTCAACACTGCATTGGAGTGTGTATTTCTAGATTTTAAACTGGGGCTTGAACCCGCATTATTCCGTCAATCTTTCTATCATGAGCTTGGCTTCCAGTGTTAGAGTGAGGAGCAAGCTATAACCTGATGTCAGAAGAGCAGTCAGAATAAACTGAAGACAAGTAGGATGACACTGAAGAGTTTTCAAAACCAGAACAATGATCTTAACTTGATCTATTGAGCTATCAGGACCCAATGGAGCTGGTTATGAGGCCCTTTGTGCAGAAGAGAACTTGTGTTGCAGAATTCAGGATAAGTTGAAATTGTCCACTTAGTGAGAGCTCAAACCTGCACTTTGATCACCTGGTGGCTCTTCCTGTGGGCCAAGTTGGGGATACAGGATCTCTTCAGGACTCAGTTGTTTCCAAGGTGACATGCTTGACAACAGGATGGTGGAATCATATCAACTTCCTGGCAGTCTCAGTTGTCCGGTTCCTGATCCAAGCAGGTTCTCAGTTCTCCATGGCTCTTGTGATGACAGATGAGCCAGCACCTGGCTTGGTAGCATAATTTTGAAGTTGGGTGACTAAATCAGATCATGTAATATTTATTACTTTTTTTGTGGAGCTGCAACATTTGAAACAGAGTTGGATCAACCTTCACACAGCAAAGATAAACTGTTGATGAAGGCAGCTGAAGATGAAAGCATTGCACTTCATGTTTGCTTCCATTTGAAATTGATCTGATTATTTTTCTTATAAATAATTAGGAGAAAAGAAATATGACTAGAGACAAAAAATTCATACATCGAGAAGAGGACCCCATTTGAAGTTAAGAGACAGTTTTAATTGGAATATGAGATAGCAGGGTGGCTGACTAACAAGCCTCAAATTCATTCTGTAATTGGCTGATATGTACAGTAAATGTGTCAGAAACCTGGCTGTCCAAACAAAAATATAAATGTTATGTACATCATCTCAGCACAGTGAAAGAACTGCATAACTTGGGACTTTTGATAATGAAGAGATGCAGTGCAAAATATTTTTGTGGAAAATATGTAGAACCCGATTTTTGTAGAATTCAGTGTATGTCATCATAACTACTCTTAAGTTCAAAATGTTGATGCTTGAGAAATGGGAACAGTTTCTGACTGACATTTAAAAATCCACTCTTTTCTGCAAGTATTCTTTTGCAAATGAAATTTATATTTGCAACAATCAATCTCCAAGAGGAGAGGTTGATCAAGAAAAAAATGGGTGATAGGCAACAGAATCAGAAAACCTTAATCAGAGTGTTTCAGTTTCAGCTGGAAACACAAGGTAAACGATTTTCCTGATTATCTGCTCCACTTTTACACTTTAGGCCCACTGTGCTTCCTGGGTTTGGTGAGTGGAGTGCATACTGCAAATTTTGTGGAAGATGAAAATCGTTTGAAAAACATGGGATATTATGAAATGAGTTACAAATGCTAAAGGATCACAGAGTCACGTCACAGAGTTCAGTTAGAACTTAGGCAAATGTTTTTATGTATATGGATAAGAAAGAGAAAATTGGGCACAATCTTGCTGTTAGTTTCCACTTCTGTGACAGTTTGGCTAGAAAAACAACAAAAAACAAACACTGAACTCTGGATGTGAGTTGAAACTGAAGTAAATGCCAAAAATGAATGAAACCTTGTCAGATTCCACACGAAAATGAAACCAAGCAGCAACTAACCTGTGAAACGATGTGCTGCCACGGGGGAGAGAATCCCTGAGAGAGAAGTATAATTCAAAAGGTGCAGAGTAGAAGAATTTATTTTTAATTTGTATTTTCTGTGCTTGCAATGATGTGGAATATGAAAATATTGATTTTTAACTTAAGTACTTTCAGCACTTCAGTAGTATTTGATTAACTTCTGTTGTTTTCTTGCAGCAGTTATTGAACTAATAGTTGATTGTAGAGAAATGCAGAGGAGCAAAATGTATTTTACTTTAACAGACGTGTCTTTTCAAGCAATTATTTTGTCAAGTAAAAACTACTATGCACACATCTTTAATGTTGAGGACTTACCAATCCACAGATGAATCTCCATCATCCATGGAGGCCTATTACATTATGGTAGAATGTCTGAGGTGTTGACTTACTAAGCTACGTATAAATGGTGGCATTTAAATATTTTATCGATTAAATATCTAGCATAGTTCAGAGTGAGGCAACAATTGAGAGCAGTAGCCTTCTTTACATAACCTGTTTAGTTTACCTGCACAAGCTACATTTTTGGTTTTAATAACAATCATATGCTTGCATAAGAAATAACGTCTTTCACATCGGGATGTCTGAAAGCACTTCACAGAATTTGCTATTAAGTACTGTGACTGTCTTTGTAACCAAACACAGCAGCCAGTTTTGTGCATAGCAATATCTCATAAACACACATGAAGCGAATGACAAATTTTATCCTGGGGATTGTTTGACCAAGACACTGGGAGAAACTCCCTTCTCTTTTTGAGTAGCAAAGTGTGATCGTAAACATCCAGGCAGACAGCTCCTTGATTTAACATTTCATCTGAAGGACCTGTTCACCTTTGACAATGCAGTCCTCCATCAGCATTGTATTTGAATGTCACCTTTGACTGAGTTCAAAGTCCTGATGTGGGGCTTGAACTGATAACCTTCTGACTGAGTACTACCAACTGGCCAAAGTTAACACCTGGCTTTGAAGAACTTTTAAGTCATTATTGTTTCCCATAAAAAGTTGCAAGTTAGTTTATAAGTCCATTTAAGACCAGGAGCAAAAACAGGTTAATTGTACTATATTTGGGGCTTTACTACTTGCACTAACTTTGATCACACATAATAATCGTTGCATTTGATATAGCGCTTTTCACGTCTTCTAGACGTCCCAAAGCGCTTCACAGAATATACTGTAAAGTGAATTGACTGTATATTTGTGGGCGAACGCGGCAGCCAATTGCGCACAGCCTTTCTTGAGGGGGTAAGATATGGACAGATCTATACAGGTTTCATATTTAGTGAAATGTGAATTAACTTCTGAAACTTAACTCTCTGGAACTCAATTCAGGAGGCCCTCTACATTGCCCTTGAAGCCCATCTTAAGATCTGTCTTTTCAACCACGCTTTTGGTTACCTTCCTCTGCTGTTCCCTCTTCTCCCCCGAAGTATGGGCCACAAAGAGCATGAAGTGCTTTGATACATCCTCCAGATGTAAATTGTTGTTCAGGTGTTTCAGCAATTATAGAATGAGAACAAAGTGAGCTTCTGAAGAAACTAATAATTTGGTTGTTGTCCAATATTTTGCAATTTGGAAAGTTTAAATGTTTTCAGTTAGAAAATTGATGCATCAAATGAACATCTATCAAAATAGTTTGGAACTACAATCTTAAGAATTTGTCCACCGGAAGAGTGAAAGGAGAAAAATCTCAACCCCCTTCCTTTTTCCAAGGAATTCTCCACTCACTACTCTACTAGTTCAGAACAGTGAGAGTCCAAAGCAAAACTACCAGCTTTTTACAACCAATCTTAGCAAAATTATGCCAAGGAGAGATACATGTACACATTTCAATTAATCACTTTAGTTGAATCAGATGTTTATGCTTTCTTTTTAAATTTTATGTTGTCTTCAGTTACAATTAATTCTCTTTAATTTAATAATAATCCTTGTATTTAATATAGCGCCTTATCACTTTGAGACTTCTCAAAGTTCTTTACAGAATATATTGTGAAGTGGATTGACTCTGCTTTACCACTCCTGGGGTCATTGTTGCCAAATACCTTGTCAAAGTGCCCATTCATATTCTCACACTCACCACAACACCCTCATATTTAGTACTTATTTTTCATTCCCAACCTTCTCCCTTTTAAGAGCATGATGCACAAAAGGTACGACAGTAACATTTTAAGTATTAGCCCTTTTTGGATTAATTTCATTGTATTTATGTAAAGCATTCTATTTTTTTTGTTCAATCAGGTGTAAGGATTTGTCTGTGTCTTTCTGGAATCCGTATTGGATGCTGCCCACTGGTCTTTGCGCGGTGAACTGCTTTTGGGAATCTGCGTTTAGGTAGGCTGCCTTGGAATTTGTGTATCAAACTTTTGTGACCAGGCTTTCTGGTGAGTCATGTCCTTTTGGAGTGTTTCGGACTAAAATTCTTCTGACTTTGGAAATAAAAGTGCAGGAAACTGCAATTAGTTATTCATAGTTCCAATATTGTTTGTTGTCGATATGCTGCTGTCCACAGAAAATGTGTCCAATAAGTAGGCTTTATTTTACATTTGCATTGTAATCTACTAACTAATTTGTGGGCACGCCTGAATAAATTGGGTATGGGAAAGAGTTGCAAAGGCAAGTAAGTTTTATTCACAGAAGCTGCTTCTTGTTGATTTCTGTATTTATATTCTCAATATGACCAAGATGTATTATGATGGATAGTGGTACAAGTAAGTAGGCACTATTGCATCTACATTTTTGAATTTTTTGCACTCTGTTATTTTTATTTGCATCTGCACTTTGAAAGGTTCAGGAAGGTACCTGGGCCAAAATGTCACAATGATAAACACAACTTCGTATGGTTATTCATACAAGTTTATTTTCCGTTCGGCACATCAAAACTAATGATATGGGCAGATGTGATATCAAGCAACTTTGCGCTCAGGCTTCCAGTTTCAGGACCTTTATTTCTGTATTGTCGTTTAGGTAAATTAATTTATAAAGGTTTCCACACGCAAGAAATGCATAATGTTATCAGACCACTTAACGAGGGGAATATCATTACATTGTTTCATTCCAATGCTGACCCTTATCATTCTGGACTAAGAGTTCCAAACGTACTTGTGTTTATTATCTTGACATTATGGCCCATGTGCCTTCCCCAACCTTTCAAATTGCAAGTGCAAAGTCCACAAATAAAAATTGCAGGGTGCAAAAACGTAAAAAATGTACAAGCACTGGAGAGGCAATGGGATAACCCACTTTGTAAAGTTTTCCCATTGCCTTGCCCCCTCCTTGCCTGTCTTGAGGTCCAGAATCGCACCTGAAAACCTTTCTCTTTGACGGTGCCTACCATCACTTCCCCTTTGGCCAATTTTCATTGGGTTATAGCTGAAGGCACACTTGTCTGCAGGCTAACTTGCAATGTAAAGGTGTCGTAAAATGTTGTATTGTCTAATTGCCATGGCAAACCAAGGGGGTAAAGTGTTCTTCAGCTTGTGGCATGATATCTATGCCGCCACAAGTTGATGATTTCTGATGATTGGACCTTTCTTAGCCATTCAAAATAATTGTTGACTTAAAAAGCATTTAGTGATTTGTGAGTGTGTCTATTATGGTCAGTGGCTAATTTATATTTCAACTTGGCCTCCAGCTGTCCTTTAAGTGTGTGTTGCTCTCTGTAGCCTTGTCAGTGAATTGGATTGGTTAGCAATTTGTTCCCTTCCTTTATTTTACTCTGAATCTTGAACTCAAAAGGCTTTTCGATAAATTTGCTTTACTCTACTGATCGAGGAGTAGGTAAATGCACTGCATGTTAACAATTTCTAGTTCAACAAAACCCAACTGACCAGTTTTAATCTCTGGCCTATGGTGAGTTGTGGGATTGTGGGATTTCAGTTGTTCTCTAGTTTTGAGCTAAGATGTGGAAAAGTAATGCTTCTGACTGATAGATATTTCTTTTGCTCATAATAATAATAATCCTTGCATTTGATAAAGATCACATCTCATCTCATCTTCGAGATGTCTCAAAGCGTTCACAGAATATACTGTAAAGTGAATTGACTGAATATTTTGTTGGTGACACGCAACAGCCAATTGCGAACAGCATTGTCCCACAAACAGTCGTGGATTGAGTGACCAAATTTTCTTTTATCATAGATATTGTCAGCCATTGTGACAGGTGCACCTTTTGGAATACAATATTTTCAGTTGCAAATATTTTTTAGTTTTCAGTTTTTAACAAATAAACTACAATAATGTCAGTTTTTAATCAATGACAAACGTCTTCATGACTCCAGGACTCATTCAGTTTGTCAAAGCTTTCTGTAGCTTACATTTGCATAACTGAGCAAACTGAAAAGTGATTGTCCAATATGTCCAATGTGTTTTTAGTAGTTTTCTTTGATCAAATTTGATTTTTTGATGTGATTTTTGGTGAGAGTATCTTGATGAGAGTTATTTAAGGTTGTATTTTTAAATCTTGCATCACGTTTAGTGTATTTAACAAATAGATTAACTAAAATGTTTCACTTACGCCTTAACGTGATATGCTTCAGATGTACTTTTCCCTTTTGAAAATTTTTTAAAACTTGATGAATCCACTGTCAAAAACAAACATTGTATCGTTATGTTTCTTGTTTTGCTCCCAACTTTGGCATAAGAATAAAGCTTCCACTTTCGAGACCAGTTATCCTGAGCATCTGTCTGTTCAGTGCATTCATAAGCCACAAGGAATTGAGATTGAATTGCACAAGCTATCCCTGAAGCTTTTCAGACTGGACTTGATTTTGTTTTTGGTCAGCCAGGTTCTGAAGCCTGTTCCTGAAGTATGCCAAAAACCCATTGCCATGTATAAGAAAATCCAAACCAAACTGAGAGTTCCACACATGATTGTAACCTATACATGGATATTTCCCTTTGTCTGGAATGGGACACACACTCTCCTTGGAGAGACGCATCTGCCTAGCTCAGGAATCTTTCTCTGAGACAAAGTATAGAAGCAGTATTCTCAGAGACGACTCACACTCTTTTTGTGGCAGACTTCACGTCAACCAAGAGGACATACTTCCATTCCACCAGTCTAATTGAATGCTTAAATGAAGAAAGCTTTTGCCTGCTTTTGGGAGGCTATAAATGGAGTCTTCGGAGATATTAAAGAACAATTGACCACATGAGCTTCAAGACTTATTTTGTTTACCCTATTTTGTATTAAAATTTTAGTACACTTGCTTCCACATTCTATTTTCTCAGAAGAAGCTAGACATTGTTTGAAAGCCTTTGTTCCACCTTATAAATATTGCCATTTTATGCTGATGGTTTGAGTAGGAAAAAAATCACCTTTTGCGTTTGAATTTCAAATGTCACCTGAGGGTAGCGCCTGGAATCCCTAGGGTAAAGGATGGAATTTTAACAGAATCCTACTATGATTGATTCCACAGACATGGAGCAAGACGGTACCCTGCAGCCTCATCAGAAAACAACTTGGGGCGGATGCATCTGGCCGTGGTAGCTTGTGGAGAACGATTGGAGGAAACTCTAACTATGTTGAAGTCTGCAGTTTTATTTCGTCAGAAACCACTTCATTTCCACATCTTTGCAGAGGATCAACTGCATGATAAATTCAAAGGCACAGTATGTATTTGTAGCAAAAAAAATTCTTAATTTCCTGCCAGAAATTATATTTTTCTACAGCTATACTGGCTTTCTGATTTTGCTTTAAACTTTTAAACAGTAGAGCATAATGCTTAGATTTCCAGTCCAGTTGACAATGCAGCTCATGTTGCCTGTTCAGTGGCTTGAAGAGAGTTGCACAAGTGCAGAGCATAATACAATAAATAATGCTAATTTGCTTCCAAAAATGTTGAATGAACACACTGTTAATAATACTCTGTCTGTTTTGTACACAGTTGGAATCGTGGGAAATACCATTCAATCAGAAGTTCAGTTACACTATCTACCCAATAACATTTCCAACTGAGAATGTAGGCGTGTGGAAGAAGCTGTTTAAACCCTGTGCTTCCCAGAGACTCTTTCTACCTGTAAGATTTATGGTTACATATATCTGAGACATTGCAACAAAGATGCTAAAACAAGTGTTTTCTATGAGTCTGAGATTAGTGATGAAAAAAATGTGTGACATTGAGGGTGTGTGGTGGATAGCATTTTTCAAATTTTCCGGAAATGCTGCAGTTTTTCCAAAGTCTTGATTATATGGATACATGACCATTTTGTCAACCTATTATTGTTACAGCTTTCTGATTAGACGTCTTGGTACTCAGACACCATATGCAAGATATTCTGGTTGGTTAAGGTAGCAACCGTGGCATGATACTGTAACTTTGGAGATATCCCATTATGTGCAACCTGCCGTGGTTGGTAATTTCACCACAGAGAAACCCTATTTGTGCAATCATATTTTTGTTCAGTATGTCTATTCTGTTTTCTTTCCTAATCGTGCAGTGCAGCATGCATAATGAATGTAGAAGAACTATCTGACAATTGTGTCATGTTTTGCACTAGTTAGAATTCTACAGAAACCCCCCCTACCACCACCACATTGTCACAGGGCTCTACTGTACTGTTTATAACTTATAGCGTGGCTGTTCTGCTGAATATCCTTCCCCTGTTATTAGGAGGGTGTGACCACAAAGTATATTGCTGTACAATCCTTTTCTTTTTTTCCTGACGATGCTAAATCATTCTTATTCTCATCCCTGAAATATACAATATTATATTATATATTATATTATATATTACTATTACTAGGAGATGCATAGGAGATACTGTTTTTTAATGTGCTCTGTTGGTGCACTGAGACTTGCCTCATCCAGTATGATATTGATCTTGTTTTATAAGTCTTTGGCCTTTTTGTTTTGGCTCTTAACACTGATAAGGAGACTTTTGTGACTTTATAGTCCATTACCAGGGCCAATAGGCCAATTGTGGAAATATTTGCCAAAAATTGCAGGGAGATTTGACAAATTTTGTCGAAAATTGCAGGGGGTTGATTAGTGCTATTAAGAGATACATTTTACTGTACATTTTCACTTTATATTGATAAACATGAAGAAATAACACGTATTAGATTATTGCAAAAAAATTATTAATGCTTTCTTTAACAAACCTGGTTGGCCCACTCTTGGGGGGTGGGGGCAACGATTTGTCCTGACTGAGGGGTTCCAGGAGGCCAGCACCTCCTGCCTCTCGGGACCCGCCAACAGACACAGGGAGAGAGACACACTCAGACACAGAAACACTCACAGAAAAAGAGAGAGAGAGACACACACACTCACAGAGAGAGATACACATATACACACACACACACTCACAGACAGACAGACCCACTCAAAGACACAGAGAGGCGCACACTCAAAACACAGCGACACACTCAAAGATACAGAGAGACACTCACTCAGACATAGAGAGAGAGACACTCACTCAGACATAGAGAGAGAGAGACACTCAAAAGACACCAGAGAGACACACTCTCAAAGATACAGAGAGACACACTCTCAAAGATACAGAGAGACACACGCTCAAAGATACAGAGAGACACACGCTCAAAGAAACAGAGAGACACGCTCAAAGGTACAGAGACACACGCTCAAAGATGCAGATAGCCACACGCCCAAAGACTACAGAGAGACACACGCTCAAAGACACCAAAGAGGCATTCACATACAGAGGAGAGAGAGAGACACAAAATCTCAACAATGGGGCCTCGGGTTGAGAAAAGCCCGATTCCCGCTCGCATCACGCATGTGGTCCGGAGCTGTTCCGCCCACAGTAGCGGTGTCGATTAAACAGCGGGCAGCAGTGCACAGAGGCCCAGGGCTGAGCACATTGTGTTTAAGGTTTGTGACAGAGGGGGATGTTTGTAGTGGGTGGGTTGTTTGTTGCGGGTTACATGGAAAAATTGAGGCCGAACTTTTCTAATGGCCCAATTCATTACTAACCAAGCAACTTATAATTGGAAAGCTTGGGGATAAGGAATTTGGTCCTGAATAGACTTTTAATAAGACTGGCAAACTGACATCCCAATGTGTTGAAGGGGTGCTCAGTGTCCTTGTACTACACCGGTTATTGCCACTGCTGGGCAGATCTCAGAAAGGTTGCTCATCAGTGCTGTTAGCTACCCATAAAGAGACTTTAGGTTTGCACATACGTGTCCTAAAATACAGGTACTTTAAGAAAGTGTTCAGTAAGTTGTGGAGTAATATTTTTCCTGTCAGTTCATTTCTTGACATACTTTTTTTTGCTGCAGTTGATCCTCAAGGAGGTGGATTCTTTGCTGTACGTGGACACAGATATTCTTTTTTTACGCCCAATGGATGACATATGGGCATTTCTGGAAGAGTTCAATCATACTCAGATTGCTGCAATGGCTCCAGAACATGAGGAACCACGGATTGGGTGGTATAATCGATTTGCCAGACATCCATATTATGGAAAGACTGGTGTCAACTCTGGAGTTATGTTAATGAACATGACACGTATTCGGAAGCAATACTTCAAAGTAAGTGTGTTAATCACTTAGTCAAATGTGCCAAATATCTCAAAATGCAGTTGTCTAGCTGCAACAAAATCAGCTTTAAAGGTACCAGGATGTTGAGTGATTAAAGCGATATGATCTTCTATATCATGTTATATAGAACATGTTAACTCAAATAGTCTTGATTGAAGAACTTTGGCCTAATGTTTTGTTTTTGATTATTTGGTGAATCATAAATATTTGTTTCCACCATAAAAGTTGGGTACATGCTTGATTTCTTGAAAGCCACAAAGGTATAAAATCTCACTTCTAGAATACGGTAGGTTTCAATACAAAGCTTCCACAGAAGCATTTGATTCAAATCTAAATTCACGCAACTGTCAGCATATACCAATGACAAATGTAGCCTGATATGTAACACTTGATTTAAGAAAATATTTTTGCAATATCTCTCAGACCTCTGCTAATATTGCTCTGAAACAAAATTTTCCTTGAGGTCTGTTTTCCATTTCTTAATAAAATCCCCACAATCTTAAATGTTTTAAAATCTCCATTTATTTTGTGAACCTCAAAACCAAACCCATTTAGTCAACGTAGGAATAATTAGTGGTTAATTCATGCTTGACTTATTTCGCATTTCTGGTACAGGGGCACCATTATAATGGTCACTATTTGGTCACTCAATCCACGACTTTGTTGGACACTGCTGTGCGCAATTGGCTTCGCATTTCGCCAAGAAAATAAGCAGTCAAGTCACTTTACAGTTTATTCTGTGAAGCACTTTGAGACGTCTCAAAGACGTGATAAAACACTAAATCAAATGCGAGGATTATTATTATTACAGTGTAAATATGCTGCCTCCAGAGGTGTTCCCCCCTCCCCACCTTTGTTGCCTCCAGGGCATTGGGTATTTTTTTTCAAAACAATTTATGCCTCACTGAATTCAATTTGCCTTTCCCACATTGCAGGAAAATCAATAGGTGGAGAATATAGTTTCTGTCATTGATGTGGATTTTCCTTCTTTCTCTTCTTTCACACCCTATTCCACCATACTACAAATAAAGCAGGGTTCAAAACCTCATTGTACTGCAGTGCTTCATCTATTTAAAACAACTCTCTATTGTACAATGATCAAAGTTTTGAGTGATTCTAATTTCATACTGAGAGTGAAGCTTGAATGTGTCATGAATTTCAGTTTGGAGAATCATTAAATTATTTGAATCTCTCAAACAGTAAACTGTATTTGTAAACGACTTTGAGACGTGAAAAGTTGATGAAGGCTACAGCAGCTGATGGTGTCTTCTGTGATGTATACTGCTGGCTTCTATGCTTAATTTCACTATTGAGCTTAGAATGATTTAATAAAGCTGCCCTGACATGCAAGGTGATGAAAATATGTTCGTAGAATCCAGTCATAAATAAAAGGGAAAGTCCTTCAAACGAGTGAGTGAGCAGTTAGGCCCAGAAATAATCTAATTTAATGACTACTTTGCTTCATCCTTTTACCGCAGGCATTTTTTCAATTAATGAGTAAGTGATCTATTATTACTTCCAAAAAGTTTGGCGTTCTTCATTTATACTCGGTTTTTCAAGGAAAATTGTCCTGCATCAAAGTATAATTTGGCGTGAAATGCATGGTACTCCTATAATTGTCACTGAAAGCTTGAGATGGATTTGCCAGCATATCAACTCACGTCATTGCAAAATAAATGCAGTGATGAGGTTCAATTTCTTAAATGTTGCATTTTTATTCATTTTAGACCAGCAGGTGGCAGTATTAAGCTGTATAAGTGACACAATAGAGCATTGTTAACAGGAGGAAAATGGTCTGATTTTATTCCAGTACATAACAAAGAAACCTAATTACTGGTTATTACCTTCTATGATATTGTAACAAAAAAAATCAAAAGCAGAGCTCACTCAGAGTTTCAATTTAGCTTTGTTTTACAACCGCAACACATTTTTCAATGAGAAATTGTAATAATGTGGTTATTCAGTTTACGTGGTACCAATAGATTCTAAGGAAATATGAATGAAATTCAACATTTCAGAATCTTCTGATTTATTTGGCTGCAAGCAATCCCGCTCCAAATCACCTTTGCCTGGGTTTGTTATAAGACTAACTTGTTAACATTGAAAACAGCTCTTGGGTGATCCATTTGATTGCATAATGATCTCTCAATGTTGTCTGCCCATTGTAAGCTCTCAATTTATGTTCAGCTATATTGATCAGATTTCATTGCTGAAGCATATAATTGATAGTTGCTTTCTTTTAAACTTTTTTTGAATTTATACAGGATATTTGTAAACTGAATTACATTGTCCTTCATGGGGAGAATTTCAGCTTTGTGATACTTGGCACTGCACTCTTATTCTCCCTCCCACTTGTGTGTTGCAGTGGCAATTTTGCTTCTGAATCTAGCGCAAGCTCTAAAATGTGGGCCAAAGTCACAAGCGACATTCTCTCTATCTGTGACCAGGGCTCCTTCTGCCTCCTCGTGCTCCTGGATCTCTCTGCCGCATTCGACACAGTCGACCACACCATTTTCCTCCATCAGCTCTCCTCCCTCATCTACTCTTAGTGGGACCTCACTCGCATGGTTCGAGTACTACTTAACCAACAGCCTCCATTTCATCTCAGCAAATGGTTTCTCCTCTCACCCCCGCCCGGTCACCTGCAGGGTACGCCAGGACTCCATCCTTGGCCCTCTTCTTTTCCTTATCTATATGCTCCCTCTGGGCGATGACATCCGCAGACATGGGGTAAACTTCCACATGTATGCGGATGACACACAAATCTACTTTGCCACTTCCAGTACCAAATCCAGGTCCGCCAATGTTCTGTCAGCTTGTCTGGCAGACATCAGGGCCTGGATGAGTGTAAACTTCCTGCAGCTGAATATGGACCAGACGGAAGCCGTACTCCTTGGCTTCCGTCAACGTCTTCACTCCCGTGGATCTAAACTCCTCAACCTCCCTTGGCTCTCCTTCAGACTCACCGAATCAGTCCACAATCTAGACATCCGGTTTGACCCCCAACTGTCATTCCTCCCCTACGTTCAGTACCTGACCAGGACCGCTTTCTTCCAAAGGCTCATTCGAAGAGGAGGGTTTTGAGAGGCGTCTTGAAGGAGGCAAGGGAGGGAGCGAGGTAAAAGGAATGTGGAATGGAGTTCCATAGGATGGTGGCAGCTAGTGCAAACTGAGAATGTATTTCAAGTGATTCCTTTAGAGCTTGAGTTCTCTAAGACATTAGCATACATATGTTGATTAGACATCCATGCAATCTCTTTATGATTATTAAAGTAGTTAAATATCAAATGTTCAGATGACAGAATAATAGTTAGTAGAAAATAAAATGCATTTTCTTTATTGTACAGAATGATATGACTGCAGCTCAGCTAAAATGGGAAGATTTGCTTCTACCGCTGTTGAAGAAATACAAGTTGAACATAACCTGGGGAGACCAAGATTTACTGAATATTGTCTTCCACTACAACCCAGGTGTTGTTTCTTCCACATTTTAATTGGGAACTCATGTCTTGCTCTTTCACCGGCCCCAATCTAGGTACCCTGGCTGACATCAGCTAATTTAACACAGAGCCTTCCTGTTCTGTGTGGCTCAGCAATACACTTCACAATGTGCTCAACCCCTGAATTATAATGGCAGCATGATCATTTTGTAAGTTTTTTTACAAGTTTGCTCTTTTTTGGTGAATGGCGTGGGTACCTGAACTGATTCCTGAAATGAAAGATGATACCTGAAAGATGTTGAATTGTTAATAATTGTTATAATCATCACTGGAAGAGCTACGTGAGAGGTTCAAAAGAATGTTTTCATGCAAATTATTTGAACTTGCTTTGTCACAACTGACCATTGAACATAAGACCACAAAACAATATTTAGAGGGGAATTGTATATCAGAGTGTTAACTAATTGCCTATCTTTTTTGCTGGCTTTTCTTTGGCTTCTAGCAAATTGCTTTCACCTCAAAGTGTAGAGTAAAGGGAAAACATTTGTCTGTTGATGCCAAAACCATGACCACGGCCTACTAGGAGTGATATTCCAGCCATCTTGCCTTATTTGTGGAAGATGATGTGAATTGGACATGTCTCCCAATTCACTGACAATTCATGTTGTATCTGATGTAGCTTATTACCTGACCATAGTGGGAAATTCAATTAATGATTGCTCACTGATTTCCAGACTCAAGCAGAGCATTTGAAAACTCAAGTTGTTGGACATTTAACACATTCCTCTGCTTTGAATTGTGTATCTTACAAGTATATGCGTGATCTATTTCAACTGAGGAGTTTGTGTAATATCAGATTTCTTACATTTAAGGTAACTTACTTGTTCCTTTAACTTCATTCAGTATGCAAAGTTTGTGAACTTTGCAGATTCACAAAACACTTAAGCAGTGGTTCAGAAAGACTTTTTGGCAATCCAAATTCAATGGCGAAAAGTCCAGTGCCATTTCACTTTTACATCAAATGTCCTTTTTTAAAGCTCCTATCTTATTTTGCAAGGGATTGCTATCCCTTGGAGACATACAAACATTTTGTTTCTTAATGGCTAAGTCTTGCTAGTATTGTATGAAAATTGCCTATGATCTGTAAACACATTATGTGATTTATGAGTTCAAATATCTGATGAATTTAATGTTCAGTCTTCATCATCTGATCTTATTATTTTCTCTTTCTTACAGAAAGCCTATTTGTTTTTCCATGTCAATGGAATTATCGTCCTGACCACTGTATGTATGGCAGTAACTGCAAAGAAGCAGAAGAGGAAGGAATCTTTATTCTTCATGGGAATCGTGGGGTTTACCATGATGAAAAGCAACCAGCCTTTCGGGCCATCTATGAAGCAATACGAGATGTAAGTTCTGTGCCCAGAAATATAGGTCTCAAAATGTGGAAATACTTAATTACCCTTATTAGAAATGATGCTGAAGGAATCCATTTTAACACAGCAAAAATCCATTGCCTAAAATGTAGTCAGTGCAACTTCTGCCAAATCTGGTGCTGTTCTGTTTTAGCAGGAAGTTTATTTGAGTAATTCCAAACGTTACAGTTTTCCTATGTTGAAATATCATGCTGAGGCAGTTATTTTTCACCAAAAATCAATAATAATGGCCTTGTAATTAGTGTAATGCACATAGACCCATTTTTTCTTCCTTTGTTACAGCAATGTAACATCAATTAAGGCACTGCTTCAACAAATAATGAACTTCTGAAAGTGTACAATTCTCCGTTCAATATGTGCAGCAGCTGTGAACTTAATTTGGTCTGTTGTAATAAACCATAATACTCAGTAAACTGGTACAAAGGAAGATGGTGAAATTCCAAATATTAGGTGCACTTCTCTGTAAATCTGTATTTTCATCTGATCAGATATTNAAAGCTTGTATGCTTCTTTTAAAGAAATTACCTTTGTAAATCATCTTAATTTGCATTATTTTTGCAATAAGATTATGGTATTGACCAAGATTACTGTAATCTGCAAAGAAATAATTGGGGAATCTCAAGAATTTAATGCAAATGCTTGGTGTAGTGCTTCATGGAGGCTTCAGTGTATGTCCTCAAAGGTAATATTGTAACATAATGCAGCATTTTCAATATTTGGATTTAATGCATTGTTAAAATAAGAAAATGCTGTTGGCTGCCACCCCATGTTTCTGATGTTCCTGTTTTAAGGTTTCCGATGCTACTATCTGTATTAAGGAGATTGTTCACTCTGCTCACAGAAATAGTAGATTTAGGAAACTGCAATGGGAAGTATGGCTAACCAAGGGTTTCTCATACCTCCTCTTTCACAATAGGTATGATAGCAACTCAGCCACTTGGCTCTATCCGCTCCAGAATGTAACATTTTCAGTCATTGGCTGCGAGGCTCCAAACCACAGCGAGAGCTTCCACTGAGCCAGCCTCAGAGAGATCCGACTCTTTCATTTTGAAAGCCAGAAAAGCAGTATTTTGGCTACACATTTGCCTGTCAGAGTTGGGGAAGTTGTGCTTGTTGGGTTGGCACATGCTAAAACATTAAGCTGTCATTTTAAAGTGCTTTGCACGCTTAGTGACTTGTGTAAACTTCAGGAAATTTGATATAATGTTTTGCATAACAGTTAAGAATCAGAATCGAACTTCTGGGACAAAAAAGATAATTTATGTTTGATCACAGAAAATTTGCAAACAGTTGATTATACAACACCACCACCAACAAAATTACATTTATAGAGCGCCTTTCACGTCGGGAGGACGTCCCAAAACGCTGATTATAGTTCTGTTGTAAGCTTCCACTGCTTTGTCTTATCACTTGAAGATTGTCTAAAACTCGATGAAAACAAAGGAAAAAAAATCGATATGAGCTGGTGCATCAATGCTGTTTGCAATTTACATAATAGAAATGAAGGTATCTACTGTTCAGGAGTTGAACTATTGATTGCAGGCGATCATTTGTCCTGTGAGTGTCATAAAAGCAATGCACACAAAGTGCTTTCATTACCAAGTACAATTTCCTTGATGATACTGTTTTGTGTTCTGTGTATATCAGCAATGAAGTCAGAATATGTGAACACTGAAAAGATTAAGGAAATTACAAAGAATATGAAATAATTTATTAAAGAAATTGGTGCTTTTCGCAAAATAAAGGCTGTGAATAACCAATTATCACATGGAAAACAATGCTATACAATACAAATTTATATTTATACAGCACCTTTCACGTTCAGACTACATCCTTGTCTGAACGTGAAAAACTTGACAGTCTTTGCTTGGCCCCCGAGCTGGGTTATTTATTGACTGAGGCACACGGTACAATGTGTAAAATGATAAATGCACATTTAAGAAATTGTAATAAAATGGATTTTTCAAGATTTCAAACTCTCTTTGTAAATAATTCGCAAATAATATTCCACACACTACATCAACATTTACATCACCTAGGTCATTTTGCTGCTGGAGCAGCATAAGATGCTGATTAGTAAAACAAGCCACATAGAATAAAATGGTAGATATTATCCAAACTTGAAAATGGCCACAGTAGAGTTCCTTGCTATTGCTTGTCCCTTGGTGATGTGCCTTTTATTTAATCTGCCCTAATGAATTTATGAGCAATTGACAATATTTAATAATAATAATAATAAATAATAATAATAACAATATTTAAGTTCTATTTTTTAAATATAGTTTACTCGGGTGCCAACGTCAATAATGCTACAAAGCAATTGGCCAGAGCTTATGTTTTGACATTGATGTAGTGAAGATTTAACACTATTTTTTGTTTGAATACTGATTGTTTTTATATTAAGTGTTCCATTAATTTATACATGAAAATGTTTCCTTCTGCATACTCTACAGTATACTTTTGGGGAAGACCCAATCCGTTTTCTTCTACATCCGCTTGAAGACAATTTGCAGAAAACTGTTAACACATATTGTGGAAGGATCCACCAGGTATTTACAAAACAGCTAAAGAAGAGTGTAAGAACTTTCCACAGCAAAATTATAAGAGGAAGATGATATGGTAACATACCGTAAAGGTATTTGTTTCTTTATTCAGATTGTTTCATTGACTTAAGGTCAATTACTGAAAGAAAGCCATGAAAGAAGGCTTTTTTAAAATATTGAAGCGATTCATAGCAGTGAAGGACCAGACACTGTATCTGCATTAAAACCTCAGAAACAACATCTTTGAATGTAAACATTGTCGTAACATCAAAGAACGTTAATTTATCTTCAGATATGACTGTTTACAAAGATGAGAATACATTTCTATTGCCTGAAGATATACTGAAACCACCGACAATCTGTATGACACGCATTCTTTGAAATTGTAGTAAGTTCCGAGTTATGTGATCTAATGCAAGAAGAGTGTTGCAATTTTATGACAATCAAATCTGTAACACTATATCAGACAATGTGCTTTCCTCTTTTTAAAAGTGCGATCAGGGATCAGTTAGATTAACTGAAATTTCAGTACTGTAAGGATGAATTAACTGTTGCCGAGCAATGGTGCAGAAATTTAGGAACTAAAATACTGCCTGTTACAATCTTGCCAGGAATAATGATATATTGATTTCTTTGTTGAACCAAATTTCATGTTTTTGCACAAATCTTAAGCTCGGTTTTGCTTCAAATCTTTAGTGAGTTTGCAAAGCAAATGAGCTTGCACCTGAAATATGCAGATGCATAGCACAATCGGTAAAATACACTCCCCCATTTTAAAGTCAATAGCTGAAGTTTATGTTTTCGCTGAACAATGGACTATTAGAGCACAGAAATGAGCCATTTGGCCAAACTAGTCTGTGCAGTATTGTGCTCCATACGAGCATCCATGGCTCCTTATCCTCTCTAGACCCTTCTCCCTCAAGTATGTATCACATATCCTCTTGTCTACTCACATAAAAACTAAAGCCTCTTGTTGAAAAAGGTGAATATAAAATATAATACATAAAATTCACATAAGTTGTATCATGGAGTCATGTAGCTCAGTGGTTAGAGCACTCATCTCGCAAGCGAGAGGACCTGGATTAGATTCCCAGCAGGGTGAAATGTTGAGCAAGTTTCCTTACTCCACACGCCTGTTTACCTAGCAGTAAGTAGGAACACGGTTGTTAATCGATTGGCAGATCGCTTTTCCCAGGGTAACAACCCCACCAAAAAAAGAAATAATAATTTGGTCATTCAATCCACGATTGTTTGTGGGACACTGCTGTGTGCAATTGGCTGCCACATTTCACCCATAAAATATACAGTCAATTCACTTTACAGTATATTCTGTGAAGCGCTTTGAGACGCATCTTGACCCCGTCACTGCAGGCACACTTACCATCAAGCATTGGAATCACACTGAATTGTGGGAAACGTCTGCGCATGCGTCGACAGATCAAGGCCTGCTATTCAATGCAGCCGGACAGTGAGTGCTTGCATGAATGGGTCAGCACCCCATTTCCCACGATTGAATGTAGCTGGTAATTGCAGGAGTAATAGAAGGTAGGGGAGAGGCGTTGCTAGTTAGGAGGTGATTAATACTAGTAGTGCAAAGAAATCTTTGCAACTAGTAGTGCAAAGAAAGTTTTTTTATATAGGAAATGGAATGGCACAATGGAATGGTGAATGTACGAGGTAGACGATTTATCCAAGTAGACTTATCCAAGTTTTACTTTAATGATTTTGCTGGACGCATTGAATTGTCATCAACAGAATTGTGTCTGTTGCCTCCAAACAGATGAGTGCACCTGACTAAATATTACGTTGGAGTGTCACATGAGTCGGTCTTGCTTTTCTGAGCAGATTTCAGGTGGAGGCATAAGGGCAAAAAAATAGGAAATTGTTTAAGCACGCTTTCCTGGATTTCTTCTTCAAACTTTCCCAAAAAATTGGAGGAATAATGGAATATTATAATCGAGAATATTGTGGGAATTAAAATGTTTAAAGTTACACATTGATGTCCATACCATAAAATATTATGGTATTCCACTTTTATCTTGAAAATGTTTTCTTGAATTTGCAGTGTTTTTCTCTGGTATTATTTAGTGCCTTGATAGCTGCTATACACTTTGGAACAGAAGTTACAGTTCCTACAACAATAGGTGCAAACTCAGTCCAAGAAGAAATGGGACTCAATTAGCTCATCTTCAGCACTGCGTGCAACTGCAGTTTTATTCTGGTATTCCATCAACTTAGTGCTTTTCATTTACTGAAAAAAAACAAAAGGATGTCCTTAAATGTATTAGACTCACACCTTGTTTGTTTTGGAATTGGGTAGGTTGTTCCGGGATGCATGAACTTACGTGAGGTTTAGTTACTTGATGAGTAGAATGATTCTGCAGCCCTAACTTTTGTACGTAATAATTTGATAGGGGTCNAAAAAAAAGCTAACCTTTACTGATGTTGCATTCTGTAGAGAACTTGATTTGCACAAGGTCAATCTTTATTAATGTTTTTTTTCTATAAATTTGCAGGACCAAGGTGCACAACAGAGTTTTTAAAAATATAAAGTTCTAATTATTGAAACGATAATTTTGATCTCATATGTAGTTTTTTGACGAGAAACCTGCATTGCCTGATTCCTCATTTTAATACACTCCTGATACTTTGAGATGTAATGTAGATTTTAGTGGTGCGTTTATATGAATTGAGAGCCTTTGTTTCAGTATTTTTTATTTTGTTATTTGTTCAGAGTAACATGTTTGTTGTTGTTAAGATTAAAACCACGTTGGGGCATTCACTTAGTACCAAAGATTCTTTGCTAAACTAGGATCATCTGCAGCTTGTGATTTTCAGTAATTACTATATATGTGGCATTTTACATTTTAAAAGAAAGATTCTTCTAGTGAGCGATGAAATACAGAATGTTTTATGTTTTCCTGGAATTAAGTCAGTAATGACTACTGCATATGGAATATGACATCACTTCTTATAGTTGAGCGGATCACTGACTGGGATTGTGAGAAATTAAATAATTTGAGATTGATTGATTGAATCTTGAACAATTGGATTCATAAACTGAAATGAGTGAATCATTCAAATGTTGATTATTCTTCTATTACCAGCTTCAAAATGAAGAGAAGTTTCTAAAAGTGAGGAATCTCTGTTCCCTAAAGGGATCCAACATTGTGCTTCTGTCACTGGTTCAGTTAATTGTAATAGTTGCCAAAATAAACCGAGAATTAAACCAGCAGTATAGGAAGTTTCTGAAAGTTGGGTTAAGAACTTTTACATTTATATGATGTTGCATGATGGGCAACTTTTTAATACCACAATTGTGCTAAATATTTTTGTATCGTTTTGTGAAAAATGTTTAATGTATCAGAAATTATGTGAAATTCTATGAGTGATGAAGGATGATTAAAAACATTTTTTAAAAAAAACATTTTTTTTTAATGTTGTTGATGCTACTGTTTGAAGCATTCCAGTATCAAGGTTTGTATTTTTAGCTGATGAAATTGCTGCAAACGAAATACAAGGAAAGAAGACTGGGATTCACAGAAGAACCTTTAATATTGATGCATTGTGGAAAAAGTTGATGTCCTTGACCATTAAACACAGTAGAATTAGCAATTTCCTAGCTGGGTGAAAACAAACTTGAAATGTTATTTACAAGTTATGGTAATTGCAGAACGATTTCACAATTTATGCACTAACTTGACCTGAATTTGTACTGCACAGGAACAATTAGCAAGAATCTTTCCCCACATGATAACATTCACTTCATTTCTGATTAATCTCTTTTTGTGAATGTGTTTCAAGACATCTTTTATGTAAAAGATAGTTTGTAACTTGATGTAGCTGGCTGGACATACAAATGCTGACTTTTTATCAGTTTCTGGGGCCTTTCATATCCCTTGATATTACACATATTCCATCTTCAACCTTGACCTGTCCAACAGAGGAAGTCCAGCATCGCCTCACAGTTGTCATTGGAGGTGAGGATGGGCGAGGCGAGAGGGTGGACAGAGGAGCTGGTTGGTGAAGGGAGAAGAGGAGCCTGGGGTTGACCTTGGCTTCCAAGGTTGTCTTGGACTAGAATGACGATGTATCAGAGATGAGGGTGGAGCGGTAAGATTCTGCCGATGGACCATTATGTTTGATTTAAACCAGGTACGTCAGCAACACACATCTGTGCTTTAAGGAGTGGAGGTGGCTGGTGTACCATGGTGACTTACGTGAGTAGGAGACAGTTCAGGAAGTGAGTGGAGCAAGGGAATCGAGAGAGATGGAGAAGGATTGAGGGAGTTGAACTGATGGTCCAAGATCGGTTTGTCGGTGATGATGAGGTCCAAGACGGTGGGGCCATGAGTGATCACCAAGTTGAGGGGGTGACCGTGGATGCAGGTGGCGTTGTGGATGTGGAGGGAGAGGTTCAGGAAGAT